ATTCCCTGCACTCTTTTGTATTATCGTTCTTTGGGTGACTATTATAATCTTATAAAATGTGTCCTGTATATTATATTGTTCCCTTGCAATACAGCCCCAAACCAACACATCCATGCTCCCTCAGTACATTCACTGAGCTGAAGCCACATCATCCTTTGGTTCTTTTATGGTTTTCCAAGCTCATTTCTGCCCCAGGAACTTTGCACTGGCTGTTCTGTCCATGTCAGAAGCTTTCCCAATTATCCTTGCCCTAACTTCAGTAGGTGAGGAATGTGCTCAGATAAGCATTTCTCAGGTCTTCTGGCCACATTCCAGGTTTCCAAGAATGCTATGCTGGACTCCTCAGACATGAGTTGCACTGGATGCCTGGCATATGACTGCGCTGGGTCAGGCAATGCTTCAAGTCTTCCCATTCCAGGAAAATTAAGTCTCAAGCGTGGATGCTTATCGTCTCTGTAGAGACTGTCATGAAACTTGACTTTTGACAACCAATTAAGGCACCCAGAGAACAGGGTTTAGAGTCCATCAGACTCATCCCAGTAACTGAAGCATTGAGCTTTGCTCACTACTGAAGTCAAAGATGGAGACGGATGCCCAGGATACCTTAGACCAAGTGCAAATGGCAAGGGCCGGCCTCAATCCCACAACCTGACTCCAGGTACAGAAAAGCTGGAACACTCTTTCCTCCCACTCCCAAGTTTAGTCTTTGGTGTAGAGCAGGTAGCTCAGGAGTTTCCCTGCCTGTCCTATTCAGCTCCTAGGTGCTGATTTTCTGCTTGAGTCTCAAAAGTCCACTGGGAAGCAGGACACTTGCCTGATTTAAGTCTGGGTGGGAAGTCTTTGAGTCTAGAAGTCAGCGAAGTTCTCTAGCCTGATAACGGCTCCAGCAGAGATAGCAATCTTTTGACACCACGACACTGTCATGGAGTCCTGATCATTCCTCCAAGCAACTTTCCTCTGCTTCCCACAAAGGTCCTTTCCATGGGAGTTGGTGGCCAATCAGTGCCCTCCCTGAAGTAGCCACACAAGCAATGGCTGAAAGCTTTCAAGGCTGTGACACAGCATCACCAACCTTCCCAGCCTCTCACCCATCTCTATTCATGAGGGCTATGGAAGGCAGTCAAAACCATGAGCTGCTGGAACCCAGCCTCAAATGGAGCCCCATGCCCTATACTGTGTGCAAAGTCCCAGCCCTGGGGTGGGCAAGGAGTACATCCAGGTGTTACTCTGCAGTCAGCAGAGATTATATCTCAGCAAGAGGTGTGGTGTTGAGCAGTGAGTATTCAGTATAAATGGGACAGGAGGCAGCCGAGTCCTCCATTAGAATGTCCAAGGCCACAGTGAGCAACTCATGAGAAGCCCTTGTCTGTTCCAAAACTTGAGGTATGTGTGCAGAGATGAGAATGTTGCTTATCAGTTCTGATGGACACTAACAGGTCTTCTTCAGAAGTGGAGAGAAGCCAAGGGCTAGGTTCAACACAGCTGGCTCAGATCATCGGAGGTTCATACCTCACCACTATACTTCACAGAACCTAGGGTAGGTCCACCTCCAAATGTTTCTCTGACTGGTTATCAAGGATCTGGTTGGGGACAAGAGCTCTGTGCGGGAAGGATCCAGGCTTGTAGGTTTGGGTTAATTTTGAAGCCTATGAAAAAAAATAAGCCTGTAAGATTCAAAAGGACAGAGCTAGGTTTATGCTTAAACTTCATAAATCTGCTCTGAAACCTGTGCAGGGCCCAGGACATGCGAAGTGATCACACGGGAGCTGTCAAACCTGGTCCGCAGAGAGAAAAGTCCTCCTAAGAAGTGGAGTGACTCACATCGTCACTGGGGAGCACAGCTATTGGGGCTGACAATGCAACTCTGAGCTGCACTACTCTCCCAATTTACAGCCTTGTGTGTCATAGGTGAGGGCAAAGAGGAACCAGGCCACCTGCCTGCTCTTTGTGTATACTTTACACCCATTGCAAAGCCAGCATCTGCATTTTCCCAGGCTACCGGGAAATACTTTAGGGAAGCCAGGATAATTTTCATATGTAGCCTGTGATTGGGTCACGAGATGATGCAGTCCTGGGGGTCGTCAGTCCTGGGACACCACTTCCCACATGTGTGCTTTTTGGAGATAGGAAACAGTGGAACTGCTGCACAGCTACCAACATAGCATCACTTCCTCTTGTCCCCACCTGATCTTCCTAAATGCTCAGTAATTCAGGGAGATGAGTGAAGCCGTGCCCCCACCTCACAACATAGCAGTGCCCAGGATGCGATGCCCCGCCATACCCTGCCCAGCCCAGCCCAGGGAAAGGTTCACAGGCTCTATCTTCCCACAGTGAAGGAAGGCCAAGGTTTGGATCTGTTTCACACCAGTGAGAAAACTGAGATGATCAGACAACAGGTCTCTGATCTTGTCTACTAGAGCAGAAACCACCAGCTTTGGGATCTAAAGTCTGACACCCATAGGGCTGCCTTTTGGAGAGTCTGTACCAACTGTTCCAGCTATTTACTGGGTAGAGTTTGGCCCAGTGGAACAATCCTGTCCAACCAGCTCAGTCCAGCAAGGGGTAGAGGCTAAGGCAAATGTGTTAGAATGTGGGAGGCCGGATATTCACTCGGGCCTGTTGCAGCCGCAGCTAGAACAAGCAGTTCCAGGCAAAGCAAGCACCTCACCTCCAGTATGGCCTCCCTTCCCAGGCGGACCACCTCCTGGAGGTGGGAGTGTGGCTGACGCATGCCATGGAGTTGGTCACCCAGATCCAGCCCCCAGCCAGTGGAAGATGGGAGCCAGTGAGCAAGGGATCCTCCCTCC